AAAAAAAAAAAAAGGTACTACATTTTTAAAAGAGAACTCGAATCTCTATTTCAGAAACAGATAAAAGACATTAAGAAAATGATACAAGACGAGATTCCCTGGGCAAGATGGCCGAATAGGAATAGCTCTGGTCTGCAGCTCCCAGCAAGACCAAAGCAGAAGGCGGGTGATGTTCTGCATTTCCAACTAGGGTACCCAGCTCATCTCATTGGGACTGGTTAGACAGTGGGTACAGCCAATGAAAGGCGAGGCGAAGCAGGATGAGGCTTCACCTCTCCCAGGAAATGCAAGGAGTCAGGGAACTCCCTCCCCTAGCCAAGGGAAGCCGTGAGGGGCTGTGCTGTGAGGAATGGTGCATTCTGGCCCAGATACTAAGGTTTTCCCACAGTCTTTGCAACCCACAGACCAGGAGATTCCCGCAGGTACCTACACTACAAGGGCCCTGGGTTTCAAGCACAAATCTGGGCAGCTGTTTGGGCAGACAGTGAGTGAGCTGCAGGAGTTTTTTTTTTTTTTCATACCCCAGTGGTACCTGGAATGCCAGCGAGACACAACTGCTCACTCCTCTAGAAAGGGGGCTGAAATCAGGGAGCCAAGTGGTCTTACACAGTGGATCCCACCTCCACAGAGCCCAGCAAGCTAAGATCCACTGGCTTGAAATTCTCGCTGCCAGCACAGTGGCGTGAAGTCAACGTGGGATGCTCGAGCTTGGTGCGGGTAGGGGCATCCACTATTACTGAGGCTTGAGTGTAAACAAAGCTGCTGGAAGTTCTAACTGGGTGGAGTCCACCACAGCGCTGCAAACCCGCTGTAGCAAGACTACCTCCCAAATTCCTCCTCTCTGGGCAGGGCATCTCAGAAAGAAAGGCCACAGCCCTAGTTAGGGGCTTATAGATAAAACTCCCATCTCCTTGGGACAGAGCACCTGGGGGAAGGGGCGGCTGTGGGTGCAGCTTCAACAGACTTCAATGTTCCTGCCTGCTGGCTCTGAAGGCAGTAGTGGATTTCCCAGCACAGTCTCAAGCTCTGCTAAGGGAAAGACTCTCTCCTCAAGTGGGTCCCTGACCTCCATGCTTCCTGACTGGGAGATACCTCCCAGCAGGGGTCGACAGACACCATATACAGGAGAGCTCCAGCTGACATCTAGGCGGTGCCCCTCTGGGACGAAGCTTCCAGAGGAAGGAACAGGCAGCAATCTTTGCTGTTCTGCAGCCTCTGCTGGTGATACCCAGGCAAACAGGGTCTGGAGTGAACTCTCAGCAAACTCCAGCAGACCTGCAGAAGAGGGGCCTGTTAGAAGGAAAACTAACAAACAGAAAGGAGTAGCATCAACATGAACAGAAAGGACAACCACAAAAAACTCCATCCAAAGGTCACCAACAGCAAAGACCAAAGGTAGATAAATCAATAAAGACGAGGAAAAAACAGCACAAAAAGGCAGAAAATTCAAAAAAATCAGAATGCCCCTTCTCCTACAAAGGATCACAATTCCTCACCAGCAAGGGAACAAAATTGGAGGGAGAATGAGTTTGACAAATTGACAGAAGTAGGATTCAGAAGGTGGGTAACAACAAACTCCTCCAAGCTAAAGCAGCATGTTCTAATCCAATGCAAGGAAGCTAAGAACCTTGACAAAAAGTTACAGGAATTGCTAACTAGAATGAACAGCTTAGAAAAGAGCATAAATGATCTGATGGAGTTGAAAAACACAGCATGAGAACTTCGTGAAGCATACACAAGTATCAACAGCCAAATCAATCAAGGGGAAGCAACCATATCAGAGTTTGAAGATCAATTTAATGAAATAAAGCGTGAAGACAAGATTAGAGAAAAAAGAATGAAAAAGAATGAACAAATCCTCCAAGAAATATGGGACTATGTGAAAAGACCAAATGTTTGATTGGTGTACCTGAAAGTGACGAGGAGAATGGAACCAAGTTGGAAAACACACTTCAAGATATTATCCAGGAGAACTTCCCCAACCGAGCCAGACAGGCCAACATTCAAATTCAGGAAATA